TCAATAAGAAAATAACTTTCCCAACATGCATACACATGAAGCCAAAACATGGAGAGACAGTTCAAAGACAAGGAAACACGATGGCTCAACCAACTTCAGGAAGATGTTTAACCCCCTCAAAGCAAGGCAAATGTGAATCCATAACCATTACCAAATACAGCTTTCTCGCATATCCAGCCGGGAGACTTTTAGCCATGTGGTTAACTCCCTGCCCAGGAAGGATGCGGGGAAGGAAGAGCACCTCACACATCACTGATGCAAGTGTAACTGGGTAGTAAGATCTCTGTAGAGAGCACTTTGACAACATCTAGCAAAATAAAAATGCAGCCCACTTTGACCCTCCACTGCTAAGAATTTCATTTGTGCCAGGATTTCATTCTATACTGTGTATTAGCTAAGAGTGGAGACAGCCTAAATGCCCCCTTTTAGGTGACTAATTAGAGAAATTATGACCCAATCATACAATGGAATACTGTGCAGACACAGATTAGAATTAGGGGCTCTCTATGCATTCATCCCCAATATAGGCCAAAAAAGGGCATAGGACAGTATATACAATGTTATTGTTTGTTGCAGAAAAATATATAAATGAAAATATAGTTTGAATATTTCTGGAAGGATACATAAGAAACTGGTAATCATGGTTGCTTCTGAAGAGTGAAACTAGAGGCAGGGATAGCAAGAAATGTTACCCTACCATCTGCTTTACATACCACATGCATGCATTTTTAATTAGTCAATTTCTAAAAATAGGTATGCATAAAGATGTTCACTGTTGAGTTGTATATACTAAACAAATTAAAACACCATTAGCATGACCTAACAGTGGGTTCTTTTTGAAATATTACTATTGCGATTAAATTGTAATTATTTTTAATCCTAATTAAATTGTACTGAGTCACTTTTTTTGTCTTGAGTACCAGAAAGAGAATACAAATTACTTCTCGGGTTATTTAAACACCTCGCAGGTGTCCTTACAGAATAAAAGCTAGCAATCTTTGAGCATTCATGGAGAACAGAAGAAACTGCAGATGACTGAAGATAGACAAGCATCCCAAACTTCATTTACTGAAAAAGAATGGAGCTTAGAAAGTTTAGCTGACATTGCCAAAACCGGTTTGGCTCAATGGATAGAGCATCAGCTTGGGGACTGAAGGGTCCCGGGTTGAGTCCGGTCAAGGGCATGTACCCTGGTTGCGAGCACATCCCCAGTAGGGGGTGTGCAAGAGGCAGCTGATTGATGATTCTCTCTCATTGATGTTTCTAACTCTCTATCTCTCTCCCTTCCTCTCTGTACAAAATCAATAAAATATATTAAAAAAAAAAAGTTTAGCTGACATTGACTTTTTGCAAAATTCTAGTTATTATTCAAAGTAAGTGGTGAGCGTTAAAACCAATAAGAATTCACTCAGAACGATGCGGAATACACTATGCAAGCTATTAAGAAAAATATTTTAGAGTCAGCAGGGTTGATTTTTTTTACCTTGCTGAGTAAAAGCTCAGAAGTACCTGGCCTCTGGGTTACACAGGGACTGCTGGTGTGGGTCAGGGAGGCCAAGCAACCCCTCCCCTCCTCTCTCCACCCCCAAGCTCCCCAGAACTGCCCTTATAAGTGACCGCAGGAATTTATTAGGCTCTTCTTTTCAGAAAGGCACTGACAGTATCTTCCAACATGACTGGGAGATAAATACAGAGCTATAAGTGACATCAGGAAGTTGAACACTGGGCCCTGCCCACTCAAGTGTGCTCACATCCACTGATTTAAACTACAAGAAAATTCTGTGTTAAGACTAGTCTCAGATTACTCAACATTCTTAATGAAAGGAAATATATGCCAAAGGTTTTGAAAACTTCATAGGACTACACAAAATAAAATTGATATTATTATTGTTGCTATTATTGTTGTTATTTTGAAGGCACAACAAATTCTGGAACAGGTAACAAATACCAAGGACCAAGGCAAAAACAGAAATAAAAAAGATCCTAATAGGAGAGACCTAATAACCCAAAAACTATTCAGATGAAACCTATCTTGTGCAACATGTAGGCTGAGAAAGCCCTGACATAGTATAATCTCATAAAGATTTGGTGACTGAGGTCTCGAAAGAGAAGCATGTACTAAAAGCCTAATGCATCAACTGCAGGCTCCGTTCATGGAAGCAGCGTCCATTCTTCCTTTCTCCAGATTAGAAGACGTGGGGCCCGCCGGCTGTGTGCTGGGTGCCACGCTGAAGAGACATGTCAAGTGGAGCAGTCAGTACATCAAAGTGTGTCATGTATGGAAACAGCTGAAGCAGCTGGAGACTTCTTAGCCAGGAAGTAAACTACGGACCTGGGCATCCTCAACCACCTGAATTATGTATTATATGAAGGAAGAAGAATCCTTCAGAGGGACAAGTTGCACACATGGGCATGAGATGACCCCCATTCTAATCACCAAAAACAGGCCTCTCTGCAAGGAAGAGTAATATGAAGTGGACTGCCTGGCCATGGGGCTCCCTTCCCACCCTAGAAGAGAGACCCACATAACGGATATGATTCAGGAAGGGAGAGGGGAGAGAGGCCTGAAGGCCTGAAGATCCCTTTTAACTATAATAACCTGGGATTCTAACTGGCTTGACAGTTTTATGTTTAATGATAAAGACATTCCTTGAGGCTTATTTGCAGCTATGATGGGAGTCAGAAAAGAGGACACAAAAGGCAACTTCTCAGACGCTGAACTTCCCTCCACTGACAGATGACAAACCTTCCACTTTTGTTTCTACTTACAAAGCACACAAGCATCTGACCCCTAGAATTCAGCACCCACCACAGGATACCTTCCACTTTTGTATATCTGACAGTGCACAGCCAACGAAGGAGAATGTCTGCCTGGTGCATGTGCCAAAATGTGCTCTAAAAGCTCTTTAAAGCATTTGTTATGGAACAGAACACTGTGGAAGGACAGTCCTTTATTTAGATCTTGTTTGTGTGTGAGAATCGATATGAGCCTTCTAGTCCTTATCCCACAATAAAATGTGTGTCTACCTATTGTCCCAGAGTCTTCTCCTCCCAGCCTTGCTTGTCAGCTCTGTCACTGTAGCTTACCCAGCACTCCCAAACACATTGCACAGATTAGTGCCATTTTTTACCTTTTGAATGCTAATTTAGAAAAAACTTCCAGCTCTCCAACAAGCCTGCATAGTCTGTATTCAAGAACTATTTTAGTTCTCTCTTCCCACCACCCATGGGCAAAGTGTGAATAGCTGTTACTGGTTTCCCACCACTAGGTTAATGACAGTCTATCCCGCCTCCTAACTTTTGAGTCTGCCCTCCATTTGACCCAGGAGAGAATGCCCTCCTCTCACATTTGCTTTGATCTGTTTTATTCTTCCTCTCTTTAAAAGGGGGCTTAAAGTACATGAAAATGTTGCCAAATCTTTGCTTTCACAGAAATACAGACTATTAAAATAGTCATTGTTAATTTTCCCATGCTGGTCAAAATAAAAACCAAATATTGCCCTCCATCAATGGGAAGCAGAATCACAGAAACCCCTTTGGGAAGGCCAACCTCACTGGGGGCACTGGATGTCAGCGTGAACTAAAATGAAAAGATCTTCCCTATTAAACAGCTAATCCAGACAGTTCCCACAGGACAGATCATTTCTTACCAAGATTAAAACAAGGGTTATGATGATGTAAGAGTTTCATCTTACACATCTGTGAGCTACAAAGTTTACTAGCACGCATTGGGGGGGAGGGGATACATGCACATTGGTTATCATTAACTGTTAAATTTCAGTCTCACATTTAAACAAATCATTTAAAACTCTGCCCAGAACTGCCCAGAAAAGGAAAAGGTCTACATTTACTTGGAAATGCAAATTAGTTATTTAAAACACAAAAGGAGCAAAAAACACAAACTGCTTGACAAACTGGCATAAGATATCTCTTATATGTTAAGAAATCCAGAAAATTATAGATGTCCTGCGCACTGATTTTCTAACATTGCTCATTCTCCATTTTTATGCTGGCCACACATCTCTCAACAAACATTGTTCCATTCCAACATAATTCCTCTGCTAGAGGAGCTCCAGTGGACTGGACACAAGTTGCAAGTTCAGCTAAAGCTGATCAGGGTCCCAATGCCTCAGATAAAGCAGCTGCTCTGTAGGAGCATGGGGCTCCCTGGGTACCAAAACCTTCTTAGGTCCTTCCTGTACTCCATGATGTTTACTATAGTCCTGAGCAATCATTAGAAGGAACAGTGGGGTGTCAAAGTCTAAGGCCAAGTTTGTCCATCTTATGAGGAGACTGAGCCTGGGGTGGGGGTGGGGTGGGGGGAGGGGGGAAGCTCTTTGCTTCTCTGGCTACAGCTTCAGTTCCTTAGTTGGCTTTAGCCTGTTTCCAAAGCAAGCAGGAGATGGCTAAGGTCTCTGGGAACAGGGCACTATGCTCATGGATAGACAGCTCTTCATAGCAGACATAGCGATAGCAAGCCAGGCAGAAGAGCGGGGCCCTGGGCCTGGAACCGCCAGCAGACCTTGAATGAGGCACGGCCTCTGAGGCAGGCTTGGTGACAGGTCCGAGGCCTTACCCTCCACCGGCCACTCCTGCCCTAATGAGGGGACAGCCGGCAGGATGCGAGAAGGAAGCTCTAGTCTTTTGGGGGGGAGGACAGGAGGAGACTCTTTCCCTATGTGCACTGGGGCAAGCTTGGGGTGCAAACTAGAAGAGGCTATGATGCCCCCTTAGAGCTGGGAGGCAGTGTCACTGCGGAGGGCGGCAGAAAGCCCTCGCTTAGGAAAATGCATTTGTTTGGGGGACAGGAGGCTATTACGTCAATGCGGGATGCCCATACACACAGGTTAGCATCACTTTAGGGACTCCATCCTTCGTCCCAGGCTGCTTGGCTTAGACCTCGGTTTAGGAGGAGAGGGACAGAGGTAAGGGTGGAGGTGACCTAGGAGTGAAAGGGATTTGGGAGAAGGATGTGGGGCCGGGACAGTCGCGGCCCTTACCTTGCTGACCACGTTTTGAACGAGGCCTGTGTGGATGCCGTAGTTCCACGCGTGACAGTCGCAGTTAGAGGCGTTGTCCCCCTTGTCCGGAGGGGACCCGAAGGGGGGCCGGTCGCCCCTGTCCGCGCCGCTGCTGTTGCTGAGGTTGCCCGCGGGCCCCCAGGCGGCCGTGGAGAAGGAGGTGGTCGGGGGGCTGTTCCAGGTGGCCCCGTCGTAGGCTCCCCACCGGCCCGTGGAGGTGACTCCCGCCAGCTCGGCGCCTTTGCCGGCCTCGCGGCACCAGAACTTGGGCTGGTTCAAAAGGAAGGAGTCCGAGAACTGGCTGAAGCCGATGAACAGCGCCGGGATCCAGGTGAGCAGCACGAGGGTCTTCTGGTAGCCCCCGCCCAGGCCCCCGAGGAAGGGCAGCACCGACCCGTCATAGTCCAGCAACAGGAGGCTGGGCGCCGCCGCGCCACCGCCGGGGTGCGGGGAGGGCAGCGCCTGGATCTCCCCGCCGCTGCTGGGGCCCGCGCCGCCCCCGAGGGGCACCGAGGCCGCCGCGTCCCCGGGCGGCAGAGAGCCGTTCTCTTCGCCCAGGGGCGGCTGCCGCCCGGGCCTGCCGCCCGCCGCCTCGCGCCGCCGGTCTATGGCCATGGCCCGGGCCCGCGGCGCCCGCAGAGGCGCATAGAGCGCGGCGGAGGCTCCCGGGCGCCCCGGGCAGAGCGCGCCGCCGCCGCCGGCAGGGCCCGCGGCTGGAGGGAGAGTGGCCGCCCGGCGCGTCAGGCCGCCCCCATGGCACCGGCGCGGACCCCGCGCCCCGGGCGCTGCGGCCCCGATCGGGCGCCGGGCAGACGGCGGGCAAAGGCCAGCCCCGGCCTCAGCCGCCGCCGCTCATCCGCTCCGCGGCCCGGCGCCGGCGGCCGAGCCCGCGGCTCTCCGTGCTCCGCCGGCCGCGGGAGGAGGGGGAGCGGGCGCCGCGCCTCAGCGGCCGCCTCGGCGCCCTGCGGACGGCGGAGCGGGCGGTGCGAGCCGCGTCCCCTGCTCCCGGCGCCCGGGATGTATTTATCCGACCTCGGCGCCTTCCGGAAGCCGCGAGCTCGGGTCCCAACCTGCCGAGGCGGCCGCGCTCTCCGGCTCCGCGAGCCGACCTCCCTCCTCCAGCTCCAGCTCTCCTCCTCCTCCCTGCCCCCGGCCCGCCCCTTCTCCCCCCGCCGAGGTGGAGGTAACCGCGGCACCTGCTGCGCCCGGTTCTTGGGCGCGAGCGCCCCCTCCAGCCGGGATGCGCCGCGCCCGGGATCCGCGAGAGGCGGGCGGGGAAATCGGCCACTCGGGCCCACCTCTCTCGAGGGTCCCCAGGCGTCCCCCTCCCGCGCCGGGTGGGCGGGGGAGGAGAAGGCGCGGAGCAGCCGGCGCGGGGGGACCGGGGATCCCAGAGGAGTCGGTGTGTGCCCAGAGCTTATGAATGGGGTTGTGTTCGCAGCTCGGCTCTCGCCTCCGCGCGAAGCTCTCACCCACCAGGTCTGTGCCCGATCTAGGTGACCTCTGCTCGCCTCACAGATGCCAGCCGCCCACCTGCTTGCATCCCACTCCCGCCCGCGAGTCCAAGGTTCGCCAGCACTCGGGAGCAACCCTCTCAAGATGTTTCAAAGCACATATATAGTTGATTTTTGTGTTCTTGGTGGAGGATCAAGGGGGCGCATTTGCCAGTTTCAGATCCTCAGTAACCAGCAGCGTCAGGTCACCCGAAGACGACAACCGCAGCACCCACTCCCAAATCGCCATGTCTTCCCTACTCCCAAATGAATGCTGTACAAGTACGATGCTAGAAGGCTGTGTTGCCAACATAATGACATATACAGAAACGTGAATGGTGATGGCATTCCCCACACCCTCCTCAAGAATTCACATTTCAAAAGCCGAACGCTGAGTGCACAGGCGCACACGTCTGTATGTGTGCACATGAGACAAGCCTCTCCCGCCTCTCCGCGCTCCAGTGCCAACCCGGCCTAGCCGGAGGCGTTATATAAATAACACCAGCCCTGCGGCAAATGGCTACATTAGCATTATTTCCTTCTGCACCCATGCACAGCTGAGAATGAGGCACCTCCTTTCACCCCAGCGTCCCCACTTGTTGGACACGTTTTATATTCTGAAGCCTATGGAAGTCTTGATAGAAGAATCCATTTCCAGTTTTATCGGGGGGAGGGGGCTTTGAAAGAAATGTTTTGCTTTTCAAAGGATACACTCTAAGCTATATCCACTGAATGTATTCTTCTGCATTTCTATTCTTTGTTTACATATTTAACCTGAAGTTCTTTTTTGTTATGAGCAACATGTGATACTAGGTAAAATATTGGCACATCCCAGATAATTCTTTCTGAATGCTGCCAGTGGGCTGGGCCTTGGGGCAGAAGGTAGTGGGTCTTCCTGCTGAGAAGGGGAAGACTGAACTCACCAAATCTCTAAGAAATGGGTTCTCAAAACCCGCTTGAATTTAAAGAGCTTCTGGGGGTAATAGTGCACAATGTGCTGGCAGTAATGTTTTATTTTCAACTTTGCTTTATTGGCTTGACTTTTTCTTCCCTCTCCTCACCCCATTAAAATATACTATAAATGCAATGTGTTTGCCTCCATGCCTGGAACAGAGAAAGTGATCAGTAGATGTCAGCCATTTATTATTATCAATATTACCACTACTACAATTACCGTTATATACCATCTGCATTTCTATTCCAGAATTAACTTTAAAGATGTTATTTATTTGCTCTTCAGTGGCCTACTGTTACATCAGAGGTCTACCTGTGTTTGGCTCTGCCGCCTTACCCATTTGTTGGATTATAACATTGGTAACATGCATGACCTTGATGGCCATTCCAATCATAATAATATATAATATGAAGCTTTTCAGGGCTGGCTTTCAAATACACGCTGTCATTCAGTCCTCCCAGGACCTCCAAGAAGTAAGTCTTCAAGATGAGGCTGTGAGAGTTAGGTGACTATCAAACCAAAGAGGTGGCCCACAGAAGAGCCAATAGCTGGCTTTGAATCCAGATCCTCTGACTTGACATTCCAGGTTTTCTCCTGTCAACGTGAAGGGACATATTACAATACTAGTTTGAAAGGTATCTGTTAATGTGCGTTTTTAGGTGGGAGAAGCCCTGGCTCTGGCAGGGAGTTTCATTGCCAGGCTGTTATTAGTCCTTGTTCCCAAAAGATGGTAGAAATCCTCAAATGATACATTCCCAGGATTTGGGGACATTCAGAAAATCGTCCTCTCTAAAGCTCAAGCTAAAGGAATCGACACAAAATGTTTGTAGTCAGCCATGTGCAGCACCCACACAGGCACTGTAACTTGCTGGTACTGTAACACCCAGGCACTGTAACCAGCACTGTAAGTTGCTGGTTCGATGAGAGAGAGTTCCCTAAATCCCTGAGGGATCAACATGACCCCCAAATCTAGCCAACAAGATTGAAAGGTAACCAATTTAAAATAAACTAGTCTTCAGTTCATTAAGACATACCTCAAGTGATTTCATTGAGGGACCTAGAGCAAAAGGAGTCTTCAGGAAGAATTCGCACTGTGATAGCCTTGAGGATTTAGGTTCACTGGCTCCTTTGGGGAAACCAGTCAGCATCTACTATCGCATTACCCTAGGCCAGTGGTTAGCAAACTCATTAGTCAACAGAGCCAAATATTAAAGGTACAATAATTAAAATTTCTTTTGAAAGCCAAATTTTTTAAACTTCTTCTAGCACCACTTCTTCAAAATAGACTCGCCCAGGCTGTGGTATTTTGTGGAAGAGCCACACTCAAGGGGCCAAAGAGCCGAAAGTGGCTCGCGAGCCGCAGATTTCTAACCACAGCCCTAGGCTACTTTTCTGAGTGGTAGCTACCACTAAGTGCTAGTTTTCTTGTTTAATTATTTATTGACTACCACCCACTTCTAGATAGGTACTACAACTGTACTCAGTTGTATTTCTGATGCCTAAAACAGTGCCCGGTACATGTAAAACACTCAACATTTATTTGATCAAGTTATCTATCAGAATCCTATAACTCTGTTTACATTAATTCTTAAGTCACCAAGCAACCTTTTCATATTTGTTTAAGTTCTCAAATATAGTGCTCAGATCAGCCAAAAATGAGAATTTAAATGAACTTGACAATTATATTCTTTATTATAAATAATTGTGCTTATTGGATTTGCTCCCAATATGAAATAATTGTGGGCAGTTATTGGCTTGTAGGCAGTAGGCTAAGTGCAGCTCACAGAATAAACATGATCTTTGAAGAAAAACGATTGCCAGCACTTGAAAATCAGGAGATTGGCCTATGAAGACATCTGATCTGTGACCCCCAATTTGTGAGTTTCCTGAACTTACTGATCTCCATAAAGAAGCTGAGCCATTTTCTCTTCCTTTGAAAGCTAATTAAATAACCTACCTGTTGGGCCACTGAAGGAGGAAAGCACAAAGCCATAGTGGTGAGGGATTATGAATTTATTCGATCATCCACACACCAGGTGGCTGGATGGCTCTGCCACCCAGTGACGGTAGTCAGCGGCTTTTAAAGGACTTTTGGCGGGCTGTTTTCTGGGTGGAGACTTTTTTATACATACTCGATGGGGAGATACTGAAATGTGGTCACCATAGTGAAATGTGGTCTTCAGCAATGGGAATGTCCATTGTGAAATGACTTGAGAAGCCAGTTCCCAGTTTTCAGAGGAAGGATATTAACTCAATTGCTCCATCAAACCTAACACTACCAACTTGTCATTTCCTAAAAAATGAAAGGAAAGAGAAAAGAAAGATGCAGAGGAGAAACCAAGATGGCAGCATAGATAAGTACCTAAACTGCTGCCTCGAACAACAATTTCAAAACTACAACTAAAAGACAGAATGGACATCATCCGAAACCATAGGAAAGCTGACTGAGTGGAAATTCAACAACTAGAAGGAAAAAGAAAAATTCACAGAGAATCAGAGGAGCTGTAAAGGGCTGAGGTACGGAGACACGCGCACAGAGAGGAAGGGTGGCTGAGTGCCTGGCTGGCTTTCTCTGGTGGGAGGGAGAAGAAAGTTCCCGACTGCACTAAACCCCAGTTCCAACTGCACTGGACCCAGGCTCATCCTGGGGAGTCTGGACTGTCAGGTATAGAGAAAGGCACATGGAGACACGGAAACCCAGGGGAGCCAAGGCGGGCAGGGGTCTGGAGGAGCTCACTCACGAGTGTGAGCAGAGAAGATTAACTGCTTTCCCTATCGGGAGGAAGTCAGAAGCTCTTGACTGCACTGAACCCTAGTTCTGACTACACTGAACCCCAGCTCCGGGTGAGCCCCATGGGGATCCACGTTCTTACAGGGGATCTAGACTGTCAGGCGGAAACTCAGGGAAGCCACGAAAGGCAGAGGTCTAGAGGTGCATGTGCAAGTGCGCAAAGAGAGGACTGACTGCTAAGTGTACCACAGGCTTTCTCTAGCTGGAGGGAGGAAGATCCCAACTGCTCTGAACTCCAGTTCTGGGCAAGAATCTGGGAATCCAGAATCATTGGGGGAGAAACTGGACTGTCTGGCAACAGGCAAAACGTGAGGGCAGCTTTCTCTCAGAGATGCTTGCAGTGATTACCGAGGGACACTGAGACCCAGGGGCCTCATAGGGCAGGACTGACGGGAAGCCAAGACTGTATGCTCAGCCCTGAGACTCTGCCCCACCCAAGCTGAGCACAGAGGATTCTGAAATTTTGTTAGTCTGGCTGTCTCCAGCACAGAAGTTCTCCCAGTGTAGACACAGTTGATACTCAAAACCAATTGGCCTGAAGGTCAATTCTTCCCAGTGATACCAACAACAAACCAAAACTTAATACATCAAGGCTGTATTAACAGTCCACAAAGGGTACACCAAGAGTATCCACCTCAGATAACCAGGAAGGCCAAGCCACTGGACCATACAGGACACCTAGCACACAAAGCTACCCTACCAACTCAGGGAAGCAGTGAAATGAGGAGACAAGGAAACAGATCACAAGCAAAAGAAAGGGAGGAAAACAAATGACTGAATATAGAGTTCAAAATCACCATTATAAGATTTTTCAAGAATTTCCTAGAAAGGGCCAATAAATTTAGTGAGACCCTCGAGGATATGAAAAGGGACCAACTAGAAATTAAACATACATAGACTAA